TTTTCTCATCTGTGTGTGGTCTACTGCAAAATAAAAAATTGTATGCCTTCCATTTACTTTCAATTATGCTCAGCTGTTTCGCTTTATTTTGTTACAGTTTGACATTAAAAAATGCAATATATGGAATTAATCTTGCATTTAAATTAAAATAATGGTTAATCTTTGGATTATAGTAACTTGGTGACCAACCATGCTACAGCAACCTGCTAGTTTTTGTTTGGACGCCATTTTCTTTTCAAGTAAAGGCATTTTTTTTTTTTTTTACATTCAACATTTTTTTCTAACAATCTGCTAGCCGAATTATGCTTATGCTAGAAATTTTATGGAACAAAAGTGCTTAATCATGGCGAAGATTAGGTGCGAAATTGGGAGAAAGTGCAGAATCGCAAACTGCTTGCCCCGTTTTTAAGAATTGCACATACACTGTATCCATGTACACGTCGACCTATTTTCACTTAAAAAAACATCCCACTATTGCACAAAAATGGCATTGCCCACACTCTTGACTTTATCCATGCACACTGCTCAAGTCCTAGCAGTGGCGTAGCTAATATTCCAGCACCCGGGGACAACTGAAGAATTTGCGCCCCTTTCTGTGTGCCAAAAATGGAAAACATTTCCTTAAAAAATTTCATAGCATCAATTTGGCACCGCCTGGATGCTGCACCCGGACACAGATGTCCCTTCTTGCCCCACCCTAGCTACGCCACTGAGTCCTAGCTACTAACCTTTACAGCCTTACCAAATTGTCGCCAAACTACCTGTTGCCATATTCCAAAGATTAGCCAAAATAGGTTAAATAATATTCTTAAACAGTTATTCATTATTAGAATTATTTTCTTGAATTAGGGTTACAAAAATAATTTTTGGCATCAACAATACATTGATGATATTTTAGAGTCTTGATAATGGAATTGTATCGATAGTATTTACAGTAAATAGCAAAGAAAATTGTCTTAGTACTCATGAAAAATGACTGATGAAATATTTAAAATAAATTGAATGGACCCATGGAAACAATATAAAACAAGTTTAACCAGTTTTGTAAATACTAGGCAATTCTGTTTCTCTTATTTGAGGCTGAATACTTTAGCCCCAAAATTTAAAATACAGTCAAGACTTTAATCTGGACTCGTCGGGACTTTTGCGATTCCGGATTATAGATCATCAATTTAAAACTGGTAAGATGGCATGCAGAAATTATAAAATTAAAAATTTGAGACCGTAATTTATGAAATAAAGAGCAATCATGATCTAAAGGGTATCTAAATTAAAAAAAAAAAAAAAAAAAAGCTTAATATTTGTTTACTTTATTAAACATTTCTTTCAACGTGCGCATGCATAAAGCATACATTAAGCACAGTCAAAATTAGAAAATTGCAACCAGAAAACTATTTGATGTGTATTTGCGATATTCATGAGGATGAGGACTTTGATTTAAATCATATCAAAGATGGAGTACATAGAGATGAAATACTACATTTAGTAAATCTGCAACATTAACTGAAATAGATAATTTTTAGCTTAGCTTATACCATCCGTTATACATTAAACGCACACGCATAAAAGTATTATACGCATGTGTTTGCAACATTAACTGAAATAGATAACTAGATAATTTTAACTTAGCTTATACTATCTGTTATACATTAAACGCACATGCATAAAATATTATGCGCATGCGTAAACGCATGCACAGAGTTTGTAGCTTTGAGGTCCGGATTATAGATCATTCTGGATTAAAGACTTTCGACTGTATCAATTTTTCTTTTGTCAATTTTCTCAAAGCAATTAAAGTCATTTTTTCCTTCATAAAACAGGACTCATGTCATGAAAAGAGAGTTCTTTCAAAACAGAAAAAAAAGCTGAAAACAGTTTTTTTGTATACATCTAGCACATTCAACAGAGGCTATCTGCACATCTTTTAGATGGTTTTCGATGTATTTACAGAAATACTTTACCTAAAATTTTGGTGTTTTAAATGTTCCATTTGATAAACTTTAAACCTCACAATCTTTGTACACCCTAATTTCCAAGCCAATAAAGGTTCTTTTCTATATGAAAAGAGGTATTTTATCCCATTCCTTTTGAACAGTTTTCCAGAGAGAATATATGGACCATTTCCTTTTTAAAAGTCCAGAAGAGCAGACAACCATGAATCATACAATGGGAGATTTAGGAGGCATATGAGTGAAGGGTAGAGCTTCCATACCCATTTATTGTTCAATTTTTTTCTAGGAAATTAACAGATTTTTACATGCAGCTGCTTATTTTGTGTTGATGCAATGTAGCTAAAGAGAAGGTATTTCATATCTGAGAATAGGGTACAAAATATGTTCCTGATAATATATAGAGTTGACCTTCACACTTTCCTCCCTCTAATTTCTATTTGCTGTTATATCAAGATCCAGTAAAAATTATAAATCCTTTTGAAAAACTGTCCTTAGATTCTTTGAACATGTTCTAAGATTTTGTTCAAATAATTATTTATCATATACAATTCTGCAGCATGTCCTGCTTTCAGCTATATGTCGTGAAGAAAGAAAATGCACATTGCATTTTTTAACCTTTTTAAGATTCAATTGAGCATTACTAATTTTATTTACAGATGATATTGAGCATTTTAGTGATTATGCAACCGTTCTTTGATTTGATAATGCGGATTTTCTTTTACCATTAAGGTTCTTAGCTTTGCAACATTCGATACATTCCGTTTTTAACTTGGATATGTGTTTGACAAATTTTCCTCCCTAGAGCCAAAAGGACATTTTTTCCCTTTGTTATTGGCAATATTATTCATTGTTGCATTAGATAACACAAAATCATGGCTTTCACAACATTACTGAATAACTAGATATGAATAACTTTCTTTGGAAAGAGCACGCATTGCTCTTTTTAAAAGCGAAATTTTGCATAAAAACAAAACTGCATGCAACAGATAATAATTTATACGGTACTATTCGGTTTCGAGGGCCGTAAAAAATCGCCAAACTATTGTTGATGCCAATGCTGCCAAAAATAATTGCGGCAACCCTAACGCAAGAAAGGAAGTGTAATAGTAAATAACTATCAAGATTGATATTTTAATCTAGATGAAAAGTTAATTTCATATAATACTTTTTTATTATTATAATTTATATGAAAAAGGCTAAACATGACTGAATGGTAGCATAAGAGTAATAAACTATTTCAGATCATTATTATCAAGTTTTATAAAAATTGCTAAGCATAACTGAATGGACGCCTGCATCGCTATTTCGCTACCGACTTATTGCTAAAGCATAATTTCATCTCGTTGGTTGTTCAAACGTAATTTTTCTATAATGAATGAAAATATTTGAAAATATTCTCGGTAAAGTGCAGAATCGCTCACTTATTTGTTTGCCGCTTTTTACAAGGGTAAAAACAATTGGATTTTTGTCAATTTTCTTTTACTTTTTAAGTGAAAATAGGTCGATGTGTACATAGATAAAGTCAAAGGTGTGCGCAGTGCCGTTTTTGTGCAATTCTAGAAATTTTTTTTAAGTGAAAATAGGTCGATGTGCACATGGATACCGAGTATGTGCAATTCTTAAAAACGCGTCACAGTGGATGATTCCGCACTTTACCCAAAATTCTATTGCCGACTTTTCGTCATGGGCAATTCCCAAATTGTTAAATCCACAGGATATTATAAAAGGATTTAAAATCAAAAAAAGGATTTAAAAATTAAGCTAGTATTTCAGTGGCGTCTCAAGAAATATAAAACTATATAAACTTACGCAATCTGAAATCAGCGCGTACGCTAGATTTGGCGCGCTGTTAAATGGACGCGTTTTCTAGATTTGGCGATTTTGCGCATACATTTTCGCTGCAATTTTTTACGGTCCTCAAAACGGAATAGTACCATTTATACTTTCAAAAATATTGCAGTTTAAAAAAAATTTTCAAGCAAGCAATTTTTTTTAATAGCAATGCAATGTTGTCTAAAAAATGTGCAAACAGCCTTAGCATATATGCTTCTTTCAGAATATATTTTAACTCCTTCATACCTTATCTAGTAATGTATTGAGAGAGAAAAGTTTTATTCCTCTATATAGTTAAGCACGTTTCTTAAAATTCTTTATGTGCCCAAATGGTTTGTTATATTCTTGAATTGTTACATGCATAGTACGAATCTATGTATCAGAACTCATGATTTGTTATATACAGTCAAAGGTCGTTAATCCAGACTCGTCGGTACTTTGGCGATTCCGGATTATAGATCATCAGTTTAAATCTGGTAAGATGGCATGCAGAAATTATAAAATTAAAAATATGAAAATAATTTATGAAATAAAGGACAATTATGATCTAAAGGGTATCAAAATTTACAAAAAAAGCTTAATATTTATTTACTTTATTAAACGTTTCTTTCAATGTAAGTTAAGTTGCTTTGTTTTTTATGTGATAATACATTCTCTTTAATTCTATAAACAGACATAATTTCTTGTTCAGTTACAAAGTTTCCCTGTTCAAGTCCTATATTTGCTGTGTCGAGAATACTGACTAATTTGTCAATCGAAATTTTTTCGTTTTCAATAACCTCTGTCACTTTCTTCGCTATCGGAAGCGAATTATAATGACGAGGGACTTGATTTAAATCATATCAAAGACGGAGTACATCGAGATGAAATACTACATTTAGTAAGGAATTATAAGCCAAATAAAATAAAAACATCTGCCCTGAAGATAAGGATAGTGCTCACAGATCAACTTCCAATTCATTGCACGCCACGACATTCCCCCTCCTCCCCCGCCGCCGCAGAGCAGCGTGAAATTGATAAAACAGATTTCGGAATGGTAAGAGAAACAAAGGATATGCTTTATCCAATTTTTGCAGCAATTCCACTTTTTGTTTGATGGACATTGAGACATACTTTCACTTTGTAGATCTTTTGAAATTCTATTTGACATAATCGAAAGTTCAAGCTTACTTTTATAAAATTGCTCTAACAGTCTGGAAAAAATAATAAGCCGGATCTAATTCAAAGATTAAGGAACAACGCAATCTGCAACATTATCTGAAATAGATAATTAGATAATTTTAGTTTCGCTTATACCGTCCGTTATACATTAAACGCATATGCGTAAACATATTATGCGCAGGCGTAAAAGTATTACGCGCATGCATGGATGCATTATGCGATGACGCATGCGCAGAAAGTTTCTAGCTTTGAGGTCCAGATTATAGATCATTCCGGATTAACGACTTTTGACTGTACTAATCTTACTATCAGAACTCGATGATTTTTTACTTGAATAGTATGAATATGCTTGCGTAAATTACATTTACTTCTCCGCATGTGAATACGCCGATGGTTGTTTAAATTAACTTCTTCACTAAAAGACATTTTACATACTTCACAGACATGAGGTTTCTCTCCTGTATGAATAAGCTGATGCATGTTTAAACTGGATTTATGACGATATGACTCCTTACATATTTCACAAACATGAGGTTTCTCTCCTGTGTGAGTAAGCCGATGCGACTTTAAACCTTGTTTATGACGAAATGACTTCTTACATATTTCACACACATGAGGTTTCTCTCCTGAGTGAATAAGCCGATGCATGTTTAAAGCGTGTTTATGACGAAATGACTCCTTACATATTTCACACACATGAGGTTTCTCTCCTGTATGAATAATCATATGATTGTATAAAATACCCTTTTGACTAAATGTCTTCTCACAGATTTCACACTTGTGAGGCTTTTCTCCTGTGTGAATAAGCACATGCATGCTTAAATGGCCCTTACTTCTAAATGATTTCTTACATACATCACACACATAAGGTTTCTCTTCTGTGTGAATACGCACATGCTGCATTAAATTACACTTGTGATTAAATGATTTCATACACAATTCACACACATAAGGTTTCTCGCCTGTGTGGGTAAGCATATGCTGCTGTAAATTCCAACTGCGACTGTATGACTTTTTACATACTTCACACACATATGGTTTCTCTCCTGTGTGGGTAAGTATATGCTTGTTTAAATGGTTCTTACTTCTAAATGGCTTCTTACATACTTCACACACGTAAGTTTTCTCTCCAGCGTGAGTAAGTATATGCTTGTTTAAGTGAGTGACTTGCATCATAATTTTATAACAGTCATTAGCACATAAAATTATACCTGCATTAACGCAGTGTAAAATCAGTTTCAACGAAATCAAATTTTATCGCTTGGATTATTAACAGTTTCGTTCATTGCTCTTGGGCGTAAGTCTGCTCGTCGAAAGTGCTGTTGCCAATACCCGTGATTAAAAGTTACGGTGTGCCTATGGTTCCAATCCAATCTTTTACTTTCGCAAACAGTTTCGCTTGACTTTACATTACTATACTAGGAGTATAATAGGAGTATAATATTACTAGGAGTATAATAGGAGTATTAATCCGGTCGATTAGTGAATAAAAATCAGCGGTGTATACACTCCTCACCCGAGGGCGAAAAATAACAAAGACATGGGAGTCTTGCAATTAAGTCAAAACGAAGCTAAGATGTTGCGTTAAAGTTCATGAAGAGCTAAAACTTCAAAAAATACGTCGGAGTATAGAACCCGTGACGTCAGATTTTGGCAATTTATCAGGTCTTGGAGAAATTGCGTGGATAGCGCATGCGCAGAGATGAACGAACTATCGTGATGATATGTCAAAGAAAGTCTATGTACATATTCTATAATTCATATTCTTTGGATATGTCGTATTTTCTATCGTGATACTTGATCGCTGATATTTCGTAATATGTAATTGTGTATGTGTCAAACATAATTACTGAAGCAGCAAACTTCATATGTGATTAGTGGGTGGTATTAAATACAGAAAAATGGCGTTTTCCAACAGAGTGTACTTATGGTGCTTTTTTTTTTATGGTGTCGAGCTATTGGCAGTTACTAGCACTGCATATGGTTAACGTGGTCAACTGTAATGCGACCGTTTAATATTTAAGTATATACGCGGGGTGGAAACTCCTTCAGCTGAGCATGAGCTCATATGATATGATAGTAATGTAGTGCAGCAACCATGCAACGAACTTTTAAATTAAATATTAACTGTTTGTGTTTTGATGTATAGCAGTGCTGCAACTAAACTCTGTACTTTTCTCTCAAGTGAAGTGAACTGATTTCTTGTTGTTAGAGTTTTCCTCATGCGTGTGCAACTCGGATGCTGGAAAGCGAGGAAGAAAGACGTGTTTTTCTACTCTCTCCTAGCTTTAGTACCGCACCCACTCCTCCACCGTACAGCCAGCGCGGGAGCGTCGGCCAACGATCTGGGCGAACTCAACGGTCGCCGATTTTTGCTTATCTCACTGCTGCCTTTCTCCTATAAGGATTTATACGTTGCTTAACTTAACCCAAGTTTCATTTTTAGATTGAAGTCAGGAACCTTAAGCGGCTCCATCTACTGCATCTGTCTCGGGGTTCTCTCGGCTGAGAGTTAAACCTCGCCCAGGCAGAAAGCCAGCGATTTCATTCTAATTCTCGTCACTGATAGACATTTTAGTTCGAATACCCGAAATGAATATAGAAATCACACAAGGAAACGGATCGATGATGACTAATGATAACCAATGAATTCCCAGAATACGATACCAATGATGGGAACTCCACCCAGCACGGTTTTTGAATCAGGAAATCTCAACTATTTAGCAATAAAATTACACTTTCCGCTGACACAGAAACAACCCGCATAGTCGTACAAGATAATCAAGAAGCTATCCATAAAAACCACCCCACATGAATCTCCTGCTTTAATTAAAGAAATCAATTACCTGTTCACCAAAACAATAAATCAACTACGAATGCAAGAGAATGAAACTGCCTCCAAACGTATTAACGATCTAGTTACCAGGAACCAAAACCTAACCCGAAAAATAGAAGAAATCCAGAAATTTTGCGAAACCCGGTGGCCCTTTTAAGGAACCACGAAAACGAAAGCACAATTCAAACTCCTCAGACTCAGAAATCGAAAATGACCATAATTACACAAAGGTATAAAATATAATCATATATATAAACACCTGGTAGATGAAAATAAATATCAACACCTGGTAGATGAAACTGATACAATGAACATCGAGGATACCGTCGAGAAAGAAGATATCACTTCCAATTCAAAGAATAACGAAACAACCGCCGATAAAAGTCAACCTCAGAAATCGAAAACAAATAGGAAAAATGATAATGAAGGAAAATCAAATCAAATACGAGTTCCCCCCATAGTGTTCGATGACATAGTAAAACCCGATGAATTCATAGAGAATCTAAATATACAAACAGGCAAGGAAATTATAGGACAGATAAAAGCAAATAAACTACACATCTACACAGCAGACACAGATACGCGCGTAACGTTGTAACGGACACTAATCTCAAAGCACACACCTATCAACTTCCAGTGTAAAAAGTCCTCAAAATTGTTATCAGAGGCCTCCCAACTACAATGAATCCAGTGGACATTACCCAAGACTTAAAAGATAAAGGATTCAACGTCAAATACATCACTCTTCTCAGAAATTGACATGAAAATAGACCAATGGCCCTTTTTCTTATACACCTTGAAAAAACTGATGCAAATAAGGCTATACACCAAGTAAAAAGAATTGGCTACCTCAATGTTCAGATTGAATCACTCAAGAAAAAAGGGACCTCCCCAATGTTATAAATGTCAATCATTTTTTCACAACTCCCTGCTTTGCACCAGAGATTGGGTATGTGTCAAGTGCGGAGGCCCGCATGCCCCTAAAACGTGCCCATTCTCATTCTGAGCATATGTCACAGAAATTAAAAAAATTATGCACAATGTTCCATCGATTTAATTTAATTTCTGCTAGACTTTTTTTTTTGGCTGTGCTAAGCAGCATTTCCGAAACAACAAAATGTTAAGACCATGAACATCCTTGAAAAAGAAACTGTCACTGCAATTTTTTATATAATGTTATATGTATAGCATTATATAATGTTAATGTATAGCATGGCTTTATACTCACTGCTGTTAGAGATATAGTACAAAGTCAAAGATCTAGAATATTCATGACATTGGCAATTTCAGATTTGGGATTTTGCTGCATATTAGATTTTAAGTTTATATCCAGTAAGATGTTAATTATAAAATTAAAAATATGAAATGGTGTTTTATGAAATAACAAAGAATAAAGTATGTATGATCTAAAAGGAATCAAAATGTACAAAAAAGAAAAGCGAAAACACTTTCTGTTATATATGTAACTGTAACTGTATCTATTATTATCTTTAACCATAACTAATATAGTATAGTAGATGAGTAATGCAGAATAAACGATGTTTGTGTACATCTCGTAATCATCACTGAGCACGTACCCAACAAATAAAATATAAAACACATGGCGCAGCCCGTCGTTGATTAAAAAAGAAAAATTTTTTGAAGAACAGCAGCCTCGGTAAAGATGTTCTAAACAAAAAATCATGGGAAGTTGTTTACAGTGAAATGAAATCGAACTTATATCGCTGGTAAGTGAGTGTTTCTTTTTATTGAAGTGGCTAAAAATATGTTACGAATTGGTACTAAAAAAGCAATGTTGTTCAATTATAAATTAATTGGTTTTATTTCCCGCGCAGTGCAGCGCGTGACGAATATTAAAAGAAGAAAGCTAAGCCGGAAATTAAAAATCAAGAGCGCGTGCATTAAATAAATAAATATCTCTTTTTGATTTCGAGAAAGTACTGGAAAATTCTAGCGCGTGATTTAAAAGCTTATAAAAGGAAAAATCTCAGTTTCGTAGTTGTGCTTGTTTGTTGTTGTTTCGAAAAACTGCTCTTGTGATTGTCCGAATTCGCGGATTAGCGTTCTTTAGCTGTTTGAATTACGTTCTATTAGACATTTGAGTAGTTAAAAGATACTACTGTGAGATATGTAATACTGCATGATAATTTGAGAAAATTTAAGATTTTTTTGGTGATAAAATAAATTTTGGTCATTTTTCACGGACTTGTGCATTCATTTCATAACGAACCCGTACGCACGCAACAATTTTGGTGTCAGGAGTGGGGTTTGATGCCATAACAAGAGCGATGGAAGAACAATTCAGGCAAATGATGACTGCATTTGCTGCTTTCCAAGAAAAGATGGAAGGGGCGTCAACTCCGTTAAGGAAGAA